AGGGTAGGGAAGGGGGAGGGTAGGGAAGCTGGAGGGTAGGGAAGGTGGAGGGTAGGGAAGCTGGGGGGGAGGGGAGGGGGAGGGGAGGGGAGGGGGAGGGCGGGGGTCTCCTCCTGGCCTCCACGCTGCTCCCACCATCCTGGGAAGAACCAGGGGCGGCAGCAGTGGTCTCTCTCTGGTGCCCCTCCTTCCCCCCTCCGGACTTCCCAGAGCTGAAGTCTGATGGTCTTGTCTCCCCACAGTGGCCAGGGACCAGGTCCTGAGCACCAACCCTGTCCTCAGCACCCTGTTCCCAAACCAGTGCGTGGGCTGGACTGACCTCAAACGGGAGCCGGAGCTGGAGCTGGACCAGAGCTTGATGACCAGGATGGCCTCCGCCCCAGGTACCCAGCAGGGGACCCCCGCCACTCCCCAGCGGGTGCAAGGGGAATGGAGGATGGATGGGCCTGTGGAAGCAGGGCCCCTCGGAGTTGTGGAGTCAGGGAGGATCGACAGTCCGGGCTCTCAGGCTTCTGCTTGAATCCCTCCAGGACGGGGAGTTCATTCCCACACGAGAGCTTCTGTGTGGTGGGACAGGGGAAGCAGCGGACAGGCCCACGTAGTGGGTGAGGTGGGCACTCTGCAGGGGTTGGGGCACATTTCTGGATTGAAAAGCCAAGGAGCCACAGTGAGGACCCAGACCACCCCCCAGTAAATAATTGGGGCTTTGCACCAAAGCCTCAGCATGAGGTCACAGTGGAGGGTGGCGGGGAGTGGGTGTCCTGCTTTTAATGTCACCACTAGGTATATGTCCCACTCTCCACAGAGGGGCCTGCTGCGACGTCCCGACCCCAGGATGGGGGCTCGCCATCCTCCGACTCACCCCCGTTCTACAAGCCCAGATTCTCCTGGGATGCCCTGGCTTCATCCTACGGGCACAGCTACCAGCAGGCCCCCTCTACCATGCAGTCTGCCTTCCTGGAGCGCTCCGTCAGCCTGTATGGCAGCCCTCTGGTACCCAGCACTGAGCCGCCCTTGGACTTTAGCCTCCACTACTCCCCGGGCTTGGACGCATACCACTGCATCAAGTGCAGCAAGGTGGGTGGTCGGGATGCGGGTGGGCTCTCGGGTCCTGCTTGCATCGCCTCTCCAGCACCCTGGCAGCTGCGAGTGTTCAGAGCTGGGTGCCCCCTGTGATGTGACTCTTGGGTCCTCTGGTGGGATCAAGGACTCACAACATTCGTCCACATCACCATTCATTGAGCCCTGACCATGTGCTCAGCCCTGTGCTCAGCCCTGTGCTAAGCACTTGACATGCATGAGCCCCGGGAGGTGGACGAAGGGCTAAGGTTCAGAGACGTTGAGTCACTTGCCCAATAGCACACAGCAAGTAGATATCACAACAAGCATTCAAACCTGGCTCTGCCCAACTCCCACTTTTTAACCGCCATTCAGCCTCCAGATAGGGCCAGGAGGGGCCTTCCAAATCCCCCCTCCCAAACTCCATTCTATAGACAGGAAAGCCAGCCACAGAGAGGGAAAGGGACCTTCCCAGGACACACAGCACATGGCAGCAGAATCGGCAATCCAGCGTTCCTTTTCCCGTACACCCACCTGTGGCTGAGCTGGGTGCAGAGGTGGGACCCAGGCCCCTCTCCCTCTCTGCATCCCCGGGGCCTCATGCTCTGCCCCTCCTGCAGGTGTTCTCCACCCCACATGGGCTCGAGGTGCACGTCCGCCGCTCCCACAGTGGGACCCGGCCCTTCGCCTGCAACGTCTGCGGCAAAACCTTCGGCCATGCAGTGAGCCTGGAGCAGCACACGCACGTCCACTCCCAGGTGGGCAGCTGGCTGAGCACAGCACCCTCGCTTCCCACTCCTGCTCTGTGCTCCCCCCAGGAAGCCTAGGGGGCTTCGGTGGGTCTCCCTCTGTGCCCCTGAGGGTGACAGATAGTGGGGCCCTCATTATCTGCTGCCCTGATCTGGGTCTCCATCACCCGCCCTTAACACATTTGAGTCCCCGATGGACCAAGCTGGCTTCATGTACAGTTGGAAGAGGCTAGGAGCTCAGGTGGGATTTCGGGGGCAGCGAGATGTCTGTGATGCTGAAGAATGACCCCACCTCCTAGGTGGTCAGGACAGGTTTCTCACCTCTGAGACCCTTGACTCTTAGAATCTTGAAATCAGGCTTAAATGTTCATCTCATCCCACTTAGCCCTACCTGATGCCAAATCCCTTCCTCAGAATCCCATTCCAGGGAAAGCACCCGACACTGACCTGAGTTGCTAACACCTGGGTAGATATAAAAGCTCAGGTGGGAAACACAGGAAAAGATGGTTAGAATGTACCACGTGCCAGTTGCCAGCTTAGTTCCGGACCTCCAATCCTCCCAACGATCCTTTGAGGTCACTACCCATAACGATCCAATGTACAGATGGGGAAACTGAGTCCCAGGAAGGTTAAATGACTTGCCAAAGGTCACGTGGAGAGTAAGAGGCAGAAGCCAGAACTGGGCCCCAATAATTCAGCTGCTTAAACAAACCACAAGGGAAAATCCCCTAATAGGAGGCCACTCAGGGGCCAGGCCTCGGCCCCTCCTGGGAGGCAGGAATGGGGGGGTCCCTGGTTCCTGCTCCTCCAGGCCCCATCCTCGAGGCCACCCCAATGGAGTGTCCTGTTCCTCAGGGGATCCCGGCCGGGTCCAGTCCCGCGCCCAGCCTGGCAGTCCCGGGTCGCGAGGCCCCACCTGCGCCTGACCCCCCGGGGCCTCGTTTCCTCCGGCAGGGGCGCAGCTTCGAGTGCCGGATGTGCGGCAAGGCCTTCAAGCGCTCGTCCACCCTGTCCACCCACCTGCTCATCCACTCGGACACGCGGCCCTACCCCTGCCAGTTCTGCGGCAAGCGCTTCCACCAGAAGTCGGACATGAAAAAGCACACCTACATCCACACCGGTGAGCCCGCGCAGAGCTCCTCCCAGGCCTGGGTCCGCCGAAGTAGATATCACAACAAGCATTCAAACCTGGCTCTGCCCAACTCCCACTTTTTAACCGCCATTCAGCCTCCAGATAGGGCCAGGAGGGGCCTTCCAAATCCCCCCTCCCAAACTCCATTCTATAGACAGGAAAGCCAGCCACAGAGAGGGAAAGGGACCTTCCCAGGACACACAGCACATGGCAGCAGAATCGGCAATCCAGCGTTCCTTTTCCCGTACACCCACCTGTGGCTGAGCTGGGTGCAGAGGTGGGACCCAGGCCCCTCTCCCTCTCTGCATCCCCGGGGCCTCATGCTCTGCCCCTCCTGCAGGTGTTCTCCACCCCACATGGGCTCGAGGTGCACGTCCGCCGCTCCCACAGTGGGACCCGGCCCTTCGCCTGCAACGTCTGCGGCAAAACCTTCGGCCATGCAGTGAGCCTGGAGCAGCACACGCACGTCCACTCCCAGGTGGGCAGCTGGCTGAGCACAGCACCCTCGCTTCCCACTCCTGCTCTGTGCTCCCCCCAGGAAGCCTAGGGGGCTTCGGTGGGTCTCCCTCTGTGCCCCTGAGGGTGACAGATAGTGGGGCCCTCATTATCTGCTGCCCTGATCTGGGTCTCCATCACCCGCCCTTAACACATTTGAGTCCCCGATGGACCAAGCTGGCTTCATGTACAGTTGGAAGAGGCTAGGAGCTCAGGTGGGATTTCGGGGGCAGCGAGATGTCTGTGATGCTGAAGAATGACCCCACCTCCTAGGTGGTCAGGACAGGTTTCTCACCTCTGAGACCCTTGACTCTTAGAATCTTGAAATCAGGCTTAAATGTTCATCTCATCCCACTTAGCCCTACCTGATGCCAAATCCCTTCCTCAGAATCCCATTCCAGGGAAAGCACCCGACACTGACCTGAGTTGCTAACACCTGGGTAGATATAAAAGCTCAGGTGGGAAACACAGGAAAAGATGGTTAGAATGTACCACGTGCCAGTTGCCAGCTTAGTTCCGGACCTCCAATCCTCCCAACGATCCTTTGAGGTCACTACCCATAACGATCCAATGTACAGATGGGGAAACTGAGTCCCAGGAAGGTTAAATGACTTGCCAAAGGTCACGTGGAGAGTAAGAGGCAGAAGCCAGAACTGGGCCCCAATAATTCAGCTGCTTAAACAAACCACAAGGGAAAATCCCCTAATAGGAGGCCACTCAGGGGCCAGGCCTCGGCCCCTCCTGGGAGGCAGGAATGGGGGGGTCCCTGGTTCCTGCTCCTCCAGGCCCCATCCTCGAGGCCACCCCAATGGAGTGTCCTGTTCCTCAGGGGATCCCGGCCGGGTCCAGTCCCGCGCCCAGCCTGGCAGTCCCGGGTCGCGAGGCCCCACCTGCGCCTGACCCCCCGGGGCCTCGTTTCCTCCGGCAGGGGCGCAGCTTCGAGTGCCGGATGTGCGGCAAGGCCTTCAAGCGCTCGTCCACCCTGTCCACCCACCTGCTCATCCACTCGGACACGCGGCCCTACCCCTGCCAGTTCTGCGGCAAGCGCTTCCACCAGAAGTCGGACATGAAAAAGCACACCTACATCCACACCGGTGAGCCCGCGCAGAGCTCCTCCCAGGCCTGGGTCCGCCGACCCTCCCCCCACCCCGCCCCCACCAAGCCCCCCACCCCAGGGCCCAGACAGAGCCTGCGGGCACCCCACCTTTCACTGTTAAAAGGTGCAGGCTTTAGGCCCGGGGTGGGGAGGGATGGGGGTGTCAGGTTACGCAGCGGAGGCCCCTCCCCTCCAACAGGAGGGCGGGGACACGCTGTGTTACTTAATGCATAGAAAAAGTACTGGAAGGAAATAGCAAAATGTCGACACTGATAATCTGTGTGTAGAAGTGAGACCAGCAGGTGAATTTCTCCTTCGTTCATCATTCCTTCATTCACTCATTCCTCCAGCCATTCATTCCTTCATTCCCGCATTCATTCACCTCCCATTTGGTCATTCATTCCTTCATGCTGCTACTCACCCTTTTGGTCCCCCACTCATTCACCCATTCCCCGTTTGGTCACTCATTCATCATCCCTCCAGCCATTCATTCATCCTCATTCAGTCATCCATTCCTTCATTCCCCCATTCATTCATTCCCCACTCTGTCATTCAGTCATTCATTCCTCCATCCATTCATTTGTTCCCCCATTTGGTCACTTTTTCATTCATCCTTCCAGCCATTCATTTATCCATTTCCCCATTCATTCTTTCCCCATTCGGTCCTCCATTCGTTCATTCTTCCAACCATTCATTCATTCATTCCCCATTCATTCATTCCTCAGCTGTTAGCCAGTGCCTCTTTTGTGCAGGGCCCTGTACCAGGTCCTGGGCTTCATTGATAAACAAGGTGGACCCAGTCCCTGCCTTAAAACCGGGGTACAGTTGGCCGAGGGGTTGGGTGGTCAGAGTTGCATTTTTCTTGTCTCCCTTTTCTAATTATTTTCTAAAGTGAACGTGCGATAAAACATAATAAAGTTCCAGAGAACAGCTGCAGGGCATTGGAGCAGCAGGTCTGGTTCAAACGGCCCTGACCCTGTCCTTGCCGCCCCGCAGGTGAGAAGCCACACAAGTGCCAGGTGTGTGGGAAGGCTTTCAGCCAGAGCTCCAACCTCATCACTCACAGCCGGAAGCACACGGGCTTCAAGCCCTTCAGCTGTGAGCTGTGCACCAAAGGCTTCCAGCGTAAAGTGGACCTGCGGCGGCACCGCGAGAGCCAGCACAACCTCAAGTGAGGCTGTCCCTGCTCCCAGCTCCTGACTGGCCTGCCCCAAGATCGTGTCACCTGGAGGGAGGCCAGCCTCACACACCAGATCCCCAGTCTCCTGGAGGCAGCACTGGACGGGACTCGTCAAGCTTGTTTTGAGACTCACGAAATTGCTGTGTGACCTCGGGCAAGTCACTTTCCCTCTCTGGACCAACAATTCTCCTGCTGCAAAGTGTGGCAGCTGGATCTTTTCTGAGCTGATGTTGTCTACAGGTCTAAGAGCTCGGTGCCTTCCCCCCGGGGCAGAGCCCAGGAGGCCAGAGTAGCCCCAGGTGCACTGCGATGCCAAGAACAGACCAGAGCTGGGACCCACAGAGAAATCCTCCCCCTGCCTGCTGCTCACGGGGATCTGGTCAGCTCGGTTTTCAGCAGGCCCCCAGTGGGAGGCCTAGAACCCCTCTGCTTCAGCCAACAGGCTGCTCCCACTCCTGACGGGCACTCAGGTCACGGGGGTTCCAGTTCTGCGGTCAGACCACGGGGAAACCAGCAGTTACTGCTGTCAAAAGCCTGTTCCTCTCAACAGCTGTAAATAAAAGACACAGATTTACTTACATTTCACCACCATTTTTTAAACACGTACTGGGTGCAAGCTAGTGCCTGAGGCTTTGGGGAGGGATGGTGGGAGGCTTGAAAAGCACAGAAAGCTCTGTAGTCGCTCACAGACACATTGGGAGACCAAACTGATAAAGTGCTGAAACAGAGGCATAAGAGACCCGCGTGACAAGACCCCAGGCGAGGGCAAGGTGGATGCAGCTGGGGCTGTATCAGTTTCCTGTGGCTGCTCTAACAGATCACCACAAACTCGGTGGCTTCAAACAACACAAAGGGGGACTTCCCTGTGGTCCACTTATTAAGACTCCATGCTTCCAACGCAAGGGTTGTGGGTTTGATCCCTGGTCAGGGAACTAGGTTCCCACATGCCAAGGGGTACAGCCAAAACATTAAACACACACACACACACACACACACACATACACAAAGGTATTGTCTTACAGTTGTGGAGGTCAGAAATCCAAAATGAGTCTCACGGGGCTAAAAGTCAAGGTATCGGCAGGGCTGGTTCCCTCTGGAGGCCCCAGGGGAGGTTCTGTTTCCTCACCTTCTCCAGCTTTTAGAGGCCGCCTGCATCCCTCAGCTTGTGGCCTCTTCCTCCATCTTCAAAGTGCGTCACCTGGACCTCCCATCAGCCCACCTCCTTCCTCTGCTTTTGACCTCCTTGCCCCCCTCTTGCAAGGACCCTGGTGATCACATCAGGCCCACCTGGGTCATCCAGGGTAACCTTCCCATCTCAAGGTCCTTAATGGAATCACCATGGTAGGCAGAATAATGGCCCCCAAAGATGATATCCACATCCTAACCCCTGGAACCTGTGAATGTTATAAGGCAGAAGGGACTTTGCAGGTGTGATTAAGTTAAGCTTGGTGCTGTCCCTCACTAGCTGGGTGACTCCAGGCTGAGCCCCCTCCCCTGTAAAATGGTAAACGTAGCAATCCTTTCCTGTGGGTTGCTGGGAGGATCCCCTGAGGCCACGAGTATATGGCAGTGAGGAGGGCCTAACACAGGATTAGTATTGGTAGGCCATGAATATGCCCTCTTGAAATCCTGCCCATCCTACAGGCCTGCTCAAATGCTGCCTCCTTCAGGAAGCCTCCCTTGGTCATTCCAGCCAGAGGTCTTCTCCTGCTCCTAAACTGAGCTCTTCGGGCTCTTTGCTGACAGCTCAGGACCCACTGAACCTGGACTGGCGGTTATCTGTGGGTAAGTTTCCGCTCTGCTAGAAGGAATTCCCTCTGGGCTCTAGTCTTCAGCACTTAAGCCCGTCCCTGGCCCACCACAATGAACACTTCTGAATGAGTCCCTTCCGGATAACAAGCTGGGCTCAGGGTTTCCATACCTCGTCTCTAACCCACGTAGCCCTCTGCAAAGGAGCTGTCATTACCCCATTTTACAGAGCAGGCAACTGAGGCTCAGGGAGGTTGGCCGTCTTGCCCAAGGTCACCCAGCAAGCAAGTGCAGAGCTGGGATCAGGACATCTGATCCAAGTCTTCTCCTTTGAGTCTCTGTTTACCCTTCCTCCCAATGACACCTGCAGATGTTACCTCTCTTCTGCTGTGAATCTAGAGGATTCTGAGGCTCCTTAAGGAATATGGTAAACCCCTTGACTCCCAGGCTCTGGGTTTGGCTGGGCAGGACCCCATGGTGTAGTTCATTGCAAAGGCTCTTCCTGTTTACTTTAGCAAGAATTCCCCTAGACAGACCTGTCAGGTGTGCAGAGGGTGGGGTGGAGGTTCTGGATTTGCATACGAGGGTGGTCTGGTCTCCTCAGCAGGCTTTCAGATCCTGTCCAGCAAGCCTCACTGTTGAGGTCAAAGGAAGACAGCCTCTGGAAGCCAACCCACCAGAGCCACCAGAGCCTTGGAGAACATCTGCTCCCCCCTCCTCCTCTTGCCCATGAGGACCGTGTAGCCCAGAGAGGGGAAGGGACTTGCCCAAAGCCACACAGCAGGGCCAGGCTCACCCGGGCTTCTGAACCCGGAGTGAGCCTGAACTTCCCAGAGGACGGACACACACACACACACACACACACACACACGCACGCACGCTCGCGCACGGAGGAGCTACTTTGCATGTTCCTTGTTTGCTAAACAAAACCACAGCAATAGCAGGATTTCAGCCACTTCTGCAGCAGGGCGGGTCAAGGAAGAGCAGCCAGACAATGTGTCTTTCTTCATCTGCTGAGGTCGGGAGCTGGGGATCTAGTGTGTCGACCCCTCCACTGAGTGCCCACAACGGTGGGAGGGCCCTGCAGCCTCAGAGCAGGGCTGCTGGACCCCCATTTGTACACACATTGCAGAGAAAGGGGGCCAGTGGGTGGGCAGGTATGGGGGGGTGGCGAAACCTGCTTCCCCGGAGAGAGTCGGCACTGAGTGGAGGGGGAGAGCCAGGCTGCTGTCCCTTCCCCACGCCCACCCCTCAGCCAGCTGCAGGAACCGCAGGACGGTCACAGGAAGGATGGGCTGCCCTGCGCACGCAGAGCTGTAGCCCTGGAGAAGGCCTGCAGGTCGGCACCAGCCACAAGCCACCGGCAACGTTCCCGCCAGTGGGAGCAGAGGTCCCGTCAAAGTCCCGTCTCCTGCGGGATGCGAGGGCTGCGCTCATCATGCTGGGGTCGGGGGCCCAACTCAGTGGGTGCGGCGGGGCCCCCAGCTGCTGTCTGTGAGTGGAGGCAGTGCAGTCAGCCGTCCTCAGCCTTCACTCCGCTTCCACTCCCCACCCCGCGTCTGAGATTCCCAGCATCAGAGTCACAGCGTGTGAACCGGGATGCCCTGTCCAGCCCCGTGAAGACTGCCCGTGGCTTCCCTTTGCTGCACGAGGGCACGGGCCCAGGGAGGGGGCAGCGGTGGCCCCAGTCACACGGGCGATCGGCAGCGACGTCACACAGAATCCAGGTTTCCTGACCACCCAGCCTAGGAACCTCTCCACCAGAACTGTGGGGTTGACTGCACAACTCCAGGGGGCTCTGCTTACACAGAACGCGGAGCCAGTGGCGGCCTCTGAGGCTGCACGGGGAGATGAGGGGCTGCCGCTGCTGAGGGCTGGGAGGGCGTGGGTGGAGCAAGTGAGGCTTTCAGGATGGCGCTGGAAACTCAACCCGTAGGATCGATATTCTCCACGGTAAGTAACAAAACCAGAATTTTAATATTAAAACAAAGCAGTCACCTTAAGGCGCAGAAACCAACACAGGAATTCATTTTCTGATGAAATGTCCCGCCAGTGGTGTCAGCTTCAGGCAACATTTCCGGGCCCCTGCCAGCCCCTGAGGGACATTCTGGGAGATGCCCGGCGGCCCTCCAGGGAAATCACTGGTAAGGCTGGAAATGCACCTCCCAGGCTCAGCCCAAGCATTCACACGGGTGGCTGAGCTGACCCCAGCCTGTCCCCAAGCGTGACCGCCCAGAGCTGACTGCACTGGCCCGGAAGGCGTGGATGGATGCGGGAATGGAAGTGGCAGAGCCTGGGCGCTGGGGCAGTGTGGGGAGTGGAAGGATGTAGGGTTCTGGATCATCTAGAAGAATAGGACTTGTTCTGAAAGTTCACCGAGTGTGCCTCGGTCCATCACCTGCAGAATCAAGTCCAGCCCCTGTCCATGACCTAACCTGCCCAGCCCTGGATGGGCTCCCCCTGAGGCGGGCACAGGCTACTCCAGAGGCAAGGAGCAGGACGAATAAAAGGGTGAGGGTGGAGGACAGGAGATAGAAGAGACACGACCAGAGAATCTTGAAGAAGCTGGGCCTGCCAGAAGCGTCCAAAGCTGGGAGGGCCACACCCCTTGGGGCAGAGCCTGGCACGGGCCAGGGGCAGCAGGAGAGACCCAAGACCCAGAAGAATCTTCCCAAGGCACCCGAGCCATTGATTGCTTTGGACCAAGGGAGGAGCCCAGGAGACAAGGGAGCTGAACTTCAGAAAGACAATCCATGGTGGACACATGGTGCGTTCTGGGGAGCCCAGCGGGAACACTGGGGACTGGAGGCGGTTCCAAGTCAGGTTCTGAGTCAGTATATTGGGGATGATAGCGGCACCAGCTGCCCTGAGCTCCTCCTGGCTCCCTGCTGAGGCTGGTCAGAGAGGGGAGCCCCCCGGGATGGAGGGAGGACTCACAGGAGACCGTTGCAGCCGCATCATCCCACTTCCCTGGGATTCTGGACAGGAAGCCAAGTCTTTCCTGTTATTCCCCCAAAGGCCTTTAGGGAATTCCCGATGCCATTTCCCACCCTTTGCCCATGGTGTTCCCTCCTCTAAAATCCCCTCTCCCCTCCCCTGAACGCTTGAAACGCAGCTCAGCTGCACAGATTTTTCTTTTCTTTTTTCTTGGCCGCGAAGCGTGCGCGATCTTTGTTCCCCGACCAGGGATTGAACCCGTGCCCCCTGCATTGAAAGCAAGGAGTCTTTACCCCTGGACCACCAGGGAAGTCCCACAAGTGCATAGATTTTTCAACACTTGCTCACCCCCGCTGACCCTCCATTCCACTCCTAGGAATTTGTGTGAAAGAAAAGTAGTCACGAATGGGCCACAGATTAGCGACAAGATCATCTTCTGAAGCCTGTTGAAAATGGGAAAAACAAATTGCAACCGTCCTAACCTCCCAGGAGAGGAGATTGGCTAAGTGACCGATGGTGCACCCAAACAATGGTCATCCAAGCAGCCATTGAAAGGAGCCAGTGTGCTTTTTTTTTTTTTTTTTTTTTTAACCTGCATTGGGTCTTCGTTGCTGTGCTCAGGCTTTCTCTAGTTGCAGTGAGCAGGGGCTACTCTTTGTTGAGGTGCGTGGGTTTCTCACTGCGGTGGCTTCTCTTGTTGCAGAACACGGGCTCTA